CCTTTTTGAAAGTAAGAATTGTGTGTGAATGAAGACAACAATTATTATCAAGAGAGGCTAGAGAACTTTGAATCCTTGAAACTGAGAATTTATTTTTTTATTTTTACTCAACAATCTACCTCAGTTGCCTTCACTTTGATGCACTACAAGATAAATTATCCCAGCATAATTTGTGCATTAATAAGTTCACGGAATATTTATCCATACAATGTCGTGACTATATATTTTAAATCTGATAATCAGTTTGTTACTTTGTTTGATGTGTGTAGTGTCACTTTGATTTGTTCATTACTCGCAATTTATAATACTATATTGTTAAAGTGGATTATTATTTATAAAAGTTAAATAGTAAAGAATTATTATTATTATTATTATTATTTAATTAATTAATTTAATTTATTGAATTACATTAACTGGGTTGACACAAAAATATTACATATTTTGTTTTACCTTGACTTTTCCATGAATTATACAATTTCTAAAATTTTTATCTAAAATTCTTTGTTCAATAATTTAATTTTAATCATTTTAATCAAGATTTTCGAAAATTCAATTATTTACAACATTTTCTAATTCAAAATTTCTCCAAAGTTTAATTATTGTTTAAAGGTTATAAAATATCTACAGAAATTCCAATTTACGAAAATTTTCATTAAAAATCTCCTGAAATTCAATTAGTTTAATTAATTATTACTAATAATTTTAATCAATTTTTTCAAAAATTCAATTACAATAAAACGTTTTTTAATGATTAATTCTTGAAAATTGAATGTTTGTTTATAAAATTTTTAAAAAATTTCAATAATTTAAGTTTATTAAAATTTTAATGGAAATTTTCAAAAATTGAAAATTCAAGTTTTTAAAACATTTTTATTTTTTAATTAAAAATTCTCTAAAATTCTCTATAATTCAATTATTTTGAACATATTTCAGTTAAAAATTTTCTAAAATTCAAAATTGTTGTCTGAATTTTGTAAAAAATTTCATTACTTCAAATTTATAAAAGTTTCAATTGAAAATCTTCTGAAATTCAATTATTTCTAAAAATTTTAAAACAAACTTTTCCAAATTCAATTATTTTTAAAATTTCAATATTAAAAATTTTCTAAACTTCAATTTTTTTATTTATTTTTATTTAATATTAATTTTCTTTTTAGACTTTTCTTGTAATGTAAATCGACTTTAACAACTTTTTTTTTTTTGCAAAAGTCGATCCGTGACCTAAAATTATAAAAATGTAAGACAATAATTTTTCGAAGCAACAGTTTGAATTGAAAATTGCAAAAAATTATAATTTTAGTAGCATTTTTAGAAATTTGCTATTTTTCCAGTACTTTTCATAAAATTCCCTAATTTCCCTGACCCGTAGCAAACCTGATTAATTAAATTACCTATATAATTTTTTTCGAAGTAAATAAAATCTTTTTTTTTTTTTTTATTTTTTCACTTTCGTCAAAAGATATAAATAATTATTTTTCAGGTCAAAGAAAACGAAAAATTGTGAATGAAAAAAAAAAATTCAGGAAGTCAAAATTTTCAATTAAAAATTTATTGAGATGTTCGGGTGATAAAATTTGCATTTAGAGAAATGATGATATTGTTAGCTGACGTAAAATTATACGGATATGGTTAAGTTCGGAGAGAAAGTAATATATAAGGAATAGAGTATTGTTAGCGGAGCCTTTTAATCATTTCGGTTATAGCAATCTGCATACTGAGTAGGCGTAATGTTTCGTAAGAAATTATTTCTTACAATTGCAGTATGATGTAATATAAAGAATGAAATATTAATCAAAATAACGAATATAATAATAAATAATTATTTTCTATAAATAATTATTTATTATTTTTTAAATATAATAAATTTTTGAAGTTCCAACTTATATGAATGCGTTATCATTTTATCGAAATAAAAAAATGTAGATTTATTATTTAATGTACAAGACTCATATAATCTTCTCAATGAATCTTGTAAAGAAACTTTCGTAGATCAAGTCGCGAACTTTTTCTATGTTTACATAATCAAATACGAGAGACAAACAGGTAATACTTGACATAAGAAGAACTTTCACAATTTGATGGATTATGTGCCGAATAAATAATTAGAGTAGACCCGCAATATGTAAATTTTAATCGAATTTTTCCTTTCATTCGAATTTTTCTTTTTTTTATAATAAAGAATTATTATAATTGTTAATAATTATAATTCTTCTTCATTGTTATTAAAGAAATTTTTGATTTTACATGCGGGAATTTTTTTTGAAAATTTTTATCTTTTTGGATAAATTGAGTACATTATGAGAAGTTTAATTAATCATTTATATAAAATGAAATGAATTTCTCATTGTCTGTGCAAATGGTTGGAATATCCTCGATGTGTTGTTACTTTTACAGTATCACTGTAAAACGAGAATAGACTTTTTTTTTTTTGTCATTCATTGTTGACGAGAACTTTTGAATTCAAAGCAACATTGTCAATGCAATTGTACTGCAATTTTGCCCAGCGGGATGTGATTCCTATATACTTTACAACTGATGAGATTGCATGCCATCTGATCGAAAAACGCGCATTTATTTTCTCCCGTGAATTTACAAGAAATTTATTTTCAAATAAACGGAAGGAATAATTTGAAATTTTATTTACTTTATTTACTAAATTTGTTATTTCAGATAAAATATACATATATATTTTCTGAACAAAATTTCTATTTTGATTTAATTATATATTGGACTACATTTAAATAACTCGAGTTTATGAACAATATTTGTGTTCACTGACTCGTATTAATATTCTTGTAAAATAATAAAAAAATTGCTTTTTTAATCAATAAAAATAATCGACAAATATTTTAGAATTTTAAATTTGATGTTATTACGATAGATAAAATAGAAAATTAAATATAAAAATTAGAAAAAGATGAATAATTTTGAAAAATATGCGTTTGTTTTGGTAAGTTACCAAGTAGAGTAAAAAAAAAAAAATATATATTACCTCGCGTGACTTTCACTGTCGTTCTGATGTCCATATGAGAGTAAAAGTGCCTTTCCGTGGCATCTTAAGGTCAGCCAACCTCACAAAATGGAAAATATTCTCGACTCTTTACCACCAGTAATCGAGCGTGTAATTGCTAGAAAATAAAATATTAAATTATTCCACATAGTATATAGAAAAAGAAAATGGCTCAACCGTAAATCAATGATAGTTTTATACACACTTCACGTCTAATCTATTCTTAAATTCACTCATTAACTTACATTTAATATTGACCCAAACAATAATTAATTCTCCTTTTATTATCCCTTTTGTAATTTACAACAATTATTAAAATTTTTATTAATCGTATTATTCATTTTTTCAAATACTAACAGTATATAACTATTGATTAATTAAAACCATCTTGTTAGATGAAAATAATTTATTTTACACAATTAAATGACTAAACACAACTTTTACAGTATAGTAGATTTAAAAATTAAAAATACGTTTTAATGTTTTCAATTAATAATTAATTTTAAATTTCTAATTAATATTTAAAATGACTATAAAATTTATGGTTTATCTATAATTAAAATTTGAAATGTTTTTAATTAAAATTTTTTAAAATAAAAAAGTAATTTATAAAAAATTATGTAATTAATTAAATGTTAATACGTGCCTGAAGTTCGTAATGTTCAAATAAATAAAATCATATAAATGTTTTTTAAAAATTACTACAGAAAATTTTCAAGAGAAAAATGAGTCAAAAGTTTTGAATTATCAAAATAATGAACGAAATATTTTTTTCAACTTCTTTAAAATCGAATTTTATTATAAAATATTGATTTAAATATCTAAAAAGAAGTTATTAATTTAATAATTGTTTAATTTTACATTGCCATCATAATTTTTAGTAATTTATAAATTGAAAAAAAAATTTCGTTCATTTAACTTTTGGCTCATAGATATAAAAAAGAAATAAATTAAATTATAATAATTAGAAATTAATGAAAATAAATAAATTTTCTTAAAATTGAAAATATGAAATTATAAATATAAATAAAAATGTCAAAGTGTCGCTAAAGTTTTTTTTTCAGAATTATAACCTCAAAATTTATAATTTCCCGTGAAAATTTTCTGATCAGTTGATAATTTCGAACTTATTGTTCACTAAAATAAAAAAAATGTCAAAAAACACTCACCGTTCGCTGATTGAGACATACCTAGACAGATTAAACTCTAAATTAAAATTATATCTTGTCAGATGAAGAAAGAACACTCTCAGAAAATAAAATTGTTTTTTTTGTTCATATTTCTTTTTTAACTTGTTCCATTTCTGACAAATTATACTTATATATTGGTTAAACTGGAATTCCATTTTCCATTCATCGTCAAAGTAAAAATCGCTCAAAATCATGTGAAATGTAATATTATTTTTTTCTTCCGTTGCATATGACAATCAGAAAAGTTGCAGACTTCGTCAATTGTTGATATCCATTCACTTTCGTTAGAGAGAAAAATGTCATTGTAATATTTTTAAAGTTAAGAAGTTATTTTTTAAGATTCTCACTTTTACTTCGTAATAATGTCGATTCCATTCCTGAATATTATATATTACATTTAACTAGAAAATTTGATAAAACATCAAACAGTACGACTTTTTATTTACAATTAGAATCTTCTCTTGATATAGAACTTCCGTACTTTTGTATTGCACATAGTCGCCACTAGATGTCAGTTATCGCCAGAACACAGAAATGTGTTTTGTATAGTTAGAAATATCAATATAAATTTAATGAAAAAGTATTATTTACGTAATAAATCTTTAAAAAGTGTATTATTGTTATAGAAATAATTTATACTGTGTGCGTAATGTATTAAAAACTACTATTTGGGAATTATTGAAATAATTTTAAATTAGCGCGCTCTAATTCTAGATATCACTGGGCATGCGCAATTTTTCTTGCTTCTTTTTGGCAATTGGCAACATTGCAAAATTTTTCAACACTTGCATGGCTTGCATGGAGGCACATCGAGGGAAAACAGTGGCAAAAATATCTCACGATTATATTATTAAATTCTAGTTATAGTCATCGTGTTTCATTGTTTTGTGTTCTATTGCTCGAAATCGTTATAGCAATTCGGTTAACAATAACGTGCAACTACGGTTTAGAATCATAAGTTTCGTTCTTGACTTTCGGACGTGCGTAAAAAATAAAGTTCGCTTCAATGTCGCAGATTTGTTCATCATCATCGGCAATCGTTTTTTGTGTCATTGTTATTATTATTAGAAATATTTAAACAAACGTGTTGATATTGAATAATTTCAATGTCAACAGTATGTTAATTTTAACTGATAATTATTACGAATAATTAATTTTTAGCTATTTTAACGTGATTTAAAGTTGGAAAAAAATGTTCTCGTCGTGATTAGTTCGGGTAAAATCGGCAATTTTCGTTAGTTTCCGTTTGGCAAAAAAAAAAAGTAACTTCACCAACAGATGTGTTATTAATTTTTTTTGTACACGTTTTATTTCCTACATTTTTTTTATTCTATTAAATTGTTCATTATTATTTCGTTAAACATTTTTTTTGGATAATCGTCGAACGAGAAAACGTGCTGTCTTGTAGGATAATATTGTTTTTAACGAGGCCAAAATGATGATATGATTAAAATTAAGTCAGATGTCTTATCAAAGTGAATAAATCTGATAACTATATATGGATTAAAAGGTATGGCTAAAATTTATTCTATATGGGTGTTTTTGTCATATTACTACTATTATTATTTTTTTATTACTAATTCATCATTATTTTTTAAATTATTGTATATTGTATTGTATTTTATGTATTTCTAAATTTATTTCTATAATTATATAATCTATAATAATCTAAATTACTTTTTCTAATTATTTATTTTTGAATTGCAATATAACGTCGAAATAAGCAAAAGTTGCAAAATCAGACCATCAATGTGTAAAATAACCAATTCATGATTCACAGTCCCATTCAATAAACTTTTTTCGAGATTGTTATCGGGATGCTGTTAAGGTTACACCATCCAATGTAATTTGCGATTTGAAACTTTATAATCTTGATTATTGTGAGGATAAAAAAAAAGAATTATATATATATGATGGCATAGATTCAAGTATTTAATTTTCTCGAATTACACGAAGTTTTAAGTAATTGAAGTATACATATATTTGCATAATTTAACAAGCAAAGGATTCTATTAGTTGTTGATGTTTATAAACTGAAATATCAATTATATATTCAAGTCATCAAAATTCATATTTGTAAGCTTTCTACTTCTTTCCATAATTGTAAATAAGACTAATAAATAGAAATCTAATTTATTTTAACGTGAATATCAATGAAGCGCAGACAAAAAAAAAAGAAATAGAAAAAAATTATATAGTTTTAACAAATAGAAAGCTTTCAATGAATACAGATTTTTTATGTGGGCGATTCCATGTGAAATTTAACCTATGACTTCTTAAATTCGGATAAATATTTTTTTTCCCGTTCTCTGCAGAAAAAAGTAATGTACGTATTTTGTTTTTATTTTTTTAAATGTTCCCAAATTTTCGAATTATGAATTTTTAAAAATCAGGGTTTTTGGAAGTTTTTTAAAAGTAGACCTATCTCTAAAAGTATTAAAATTTAGAAATTTTTGCCAAGAAAAAAAATATTTTGAATTTTTATATTAAAATATAACAATTTTTTAATAAACAAATTAATTTTTTTAACTTATTTGGGCGTGATTTTTTTTACTTTTATTTTACTTTTTTATACCTAGAAATACTAAGAATATATTTTTAAAAAATGTTTTAGAATGGGTCTGATGATCTTTTTTGTTTAAATAATAAAAAAAATGTTTTGTTTTTTATTTTTCAAACAAAAAAGTTTTTTGGCCACTAGGATCTTTCAGTTTACTTATAAAAAAGCAAATTAAAATGTATTTTATATTAAGACAAAAAAAAACGAAAAAAGAAAAAAAAAATTTATAAACAAATTATTTAAATAAAAAGGATCATTAGGCATACTATAAAAAATTTTGCAAAAAATATTCTTAATATTTCCACGTATGTAAAACAAAGTAAAAAAAAATCGGCCCCAAAGTCAAGAAAAATTAATTTGTTTATAAAAAATAGTTAATTTTTCTTTTAAAAATTCAAAAATTTTTTTTCGTTAACATATTTCAAAAGTCGATGAAAAAAGTGAAAATTTTTTTCTCTCTATACTTTAAAAAAATTTCGAAAAACTATTATTTTTAAACATTTATAACTCGAAAAATTTTAGGCACTTAAAAAAATAAAAAAAATATGTATATCACTTTTTTATTTCACCACAGTTTTTATTTATTTTTTTAAAATCAAATAAACGTTTTTTAAAAATATTTTAATATGATATTAAAAAAAAAAAAAATGAATAAATACATATAAAAACTTTGGTGAAGGAAAATATACTGTCCTAAAAAATTCTTATTAATATAATATATTATAATATAATTATTTTTAAGCCGAATTTTTATTTGTTCGAATTAGTATTTTGCAGAATTTTCATCAAAACGATTTTCTGTATTACACAATTTTTATATAACCGAAAATTTACTTCACAGAATCCCAAGCAAAAATTTACAACCGGTGCATTGTTGCGCCAGTACTGGCGATTACTGGCTTAGTAATGGCTTCTTACTGGCGTACAGTACTGGTTCAGTAATGGAATTTAGCAGTAATTCTGTATTTTGCCAGTACGGGCAAAATTATAGTAACCAGTAGTAAGCCAGCACTATGGTAGATATTCAAAATTCAGGGTTCTTTTTGCTTTTTACATTAATTGAGCATTAACTATGAATAATAATAAATTATTATAATAACTTTTAAATTGTTATTTTTTTATATTAACATTTTACTCTTTATTTTATTATTTAAATAATTTCTTCAAATATTAAAAAATATATATTTATTTGTATTTGTTTAAATAATCGAAATTAAATGAAATTATTGGTTAAAATAGAGTTTATTTGATTCAAATATATTTTTTCAGTGTAAGAAAAATAATTTGAGAACTTCGCATTAATTATGTATTTTTTTTATTAAAAAGTTTTAATATTAAATTTAAATTTCATAATTTCGCTAACGAACGCATTGCAGTAATCGAAAAGAAGTATTAAAATAATTTTAAAAAAATATGTATGTAAATTTAATTTCTAACCAACAAAAATACACAATTTTCACGTCTATGAAGTTGACGTCGACGCTCAACGTCGAAAATTATTTTTCATGGGACCAAAAATAACAAATGAGCACCTGGATATAATAACTCGCGCTACGCTCGGCTGTACGCTCTCAAGCCAGTCAAACCTACAAAAAGAGTAAGAAAATTCAAATTGTAAATTTTGAGTTTTGAAAAGTACTACCTTGTAGGAAATAAATAGGCGCATCTTTTTTTCCTTTGACATTTTTTAGAAAAACGAATATTTTAAATAATAAATCCAAAAAACTAAGAAATCTCGATTCACAAATTTCATTAAGTTTTAAAACATAAATCATCGTATCTTTTACAATTATAAACGGATTTAATTAAAAATTAGTATACACACGCTCTTGGGTCTACTGAAGACGACAATATAGTGAAAAATTAAAAAATCACTAATTGTTTATTAAATTTTTAATGTAAATAGAGACCTGTCGGAAATCACGTTTTCTTACATTCGGCGACAAAAAGTCTGCAGGGAAGTTTACAGTTGAGATAACTTCCAGTGAGACATTTGTTTATTACTATATAAGGAAGTTTTTTGGAAAATTTTAAGCCGATTCATTGAAAACTTTGGAAAATATTGAAGATTTAAGAAAGCGCGTGCGGCACGCTAGCGCGTCACACGGCTCTGTGCATTAAATATAATTAGCTTTTCACAAGTTTAATATTAATTTAATTAAATTATTAATTATTTTACTTGATAATTAATTAATTTATTATTAAATATTAAATTAATTAAGTTATATTGCATAAAATATTTTATACACAAAATAACAAAGTAAACAATTTTTATATACATATTTAATGCTTTTAAATATGTTCTTAAAAATTCAGACTTCTATTTTTAGGTATGCAGGTAATTAATAATAAACATAAAATTATAATTGTTTTCAAAATTGCACATTACGTAAAAATTTAATATTTTCTTAACATATTGAAAAACATATGAACATCTTTGACTACACATATTACTAAAAATTTATTTATATAAATATAGCTATGTAAACAATCTTTATAATATTTAATATTTATTTTGTGTATAAAATATTTTATGCAATATAACTTAATTAATTTAATATTTAATAATAAATGAATTAATTATCAAGTAAAATAATTAATAATTTAATTAATGTAAACTATAAATACCACTTCCACTCTCCTCTTTTATACTTAATTATTATCGATAGTAATTATAATTATCTGGTCAAAAAAAAAAAAATTCCGAAATCGGTTTCTTTATTCCTATTCTGCTTAATAATTTTTCTTTCCTCTCTCGATTGTGAATATTTCAAGTCTGACTAAATGTCTGATCATATTCGACTTTATCTACTGAATATATAAGCGCACCTTCATTCCGATGAGGTTTTGAGAAAAACAAAAGTGGCAGTGTTTGTATCTGTCAAATAAAACAAACATAGTATGTTCGAACTAGAAAATAGAAACCGAAGCATTTCTCTTTCAGTTGTCCTATATTTTTCTTTTAACTTTCTCTCTATTCTCACACCAAAAGACTGTCCTGTTTTTGACACTGATCTGAGTTATGGGTTACCCTACTCAGAGCAATCCCTTTTCTACATCATCCACTAGGATCAACGTATTCACACAACATTGCTGTCTCAGATTATTTACTGGTATATAAAGCTGCGCGCAGAAAGAAAGGTCGCAAGAAAGATTTGCTTTAATCTAATCTTGTAAAAAAAAAAAAAAAAAAAGAAACACGTGCCACATATAATACTCATATATGTCTGGCTAGAAAAGTAGAGAATTAATCAATCGAAAGAGAGAAAAAAAGGCTATAGAAAAAAGTTGTTCGGGTGCACTTTTAGTTGTAGGATATTCATTATCCATCCCTTCATATATATCAAGATTTTTTGTTGAACCATCAAATAATGTGCATCATTAGTTCAGGCCTCAGACTCACGTATCTATTATTGTTAGTTATGATAATTTTTTTTTGGCTTTTTTCAACTAATATGCAATTATGTAGCCTTTGAAAAAATTCTACTAATGATACAGTTGCAGAAACAAACTCTCTGTCGATTGCTGATGGAACAGGTCGGTGAAGTGCACATCGATTACGATCATCAAAATTTTAAAAATCAAGATACTGCATAAACACAACAAAAAATTACAAAAAACTTCAAAAAAACATTATGCTTAACAAAAAAAATTAAGTTTAACCCCAAATTCATTAGAAAAATACCCCTATTATAATCCCCTACATTGATATTTTTCTAAAAAAATAGAAATTTCGTTACACACATAATTTTATTGCAAATTGTCGCACAAAATACAATTAAAAGTGTAGAAAAAAATTGACACCCACTATACAAGTAGGGGAAAGACCCCTACTTATATGGGGGTGTCTATTTTTTTCTACACTTTTAGTTGTATTTTGTGCGAGAATTTGCAATAAAATTATTTGTGTAACGAAATTTCTATTTTTTTTAGAAAAATGTCAATGTAGG